AGGTAGCAATCCGCTACCTCGACCTCCGGGGCGAGAAAGCCCCGTTCGTAAGTGCGGATCCGACGTAAGTCGGATCCGCGTAAGTCGGGGACTGCCTGTAGTTTTAAAAGACCACTACAATAAAAGCTGAAACTTTCTGTGCTCCGTAAAAGCTTTGCTAAATTCATTCTTAATCATAAAAGAAGCTCTTTACAAAGTTCCTTGAACAATGCCTTTAGCTGCAGTGAGAAACAACTCATGTTGCAGAAAAGTATTTTGTAATATCTAGTGTTCAATAAGCTATACTACAAATAATATTTTGGCTATTTCATACAGGACACTATTTTAAATCCCAAATCCCCACTGCATCTGAACTTTTGAAAGTTTGATCACTTAATTTAAATGCATGGCACCTTGTCTAAATTAGGAGAAAAGATATTAGGATAACTTGTTAACTAACCCACATTATAATCCCAGTGAAGGCACAGCAGTTGTGGTTTTAAACCATGTTAGGTGGTCAAAGTAAATCCTAGGGGGAACAAGCTTACGTCAACTTGCTATCAAGGCTTAAAAGTACAACTGCCTTGCCTTCACTAGGATTGTAAAGTAGGGTTATACAATACAAGCTAAAACCCACATCATTTTACCTATCATGCCTGTTATAAGCACCCTACCTCAGTGAGCGTGTCATCACTAGGAATAAAAATGTGTTAACTCATGTTAGTATGTGGCAACTAACATTAAAATCCTAGAGAAGTCAAAGCAGCTGACTCATGTGAAAACTACAACTACCTTGTTGGTACTCCGATTTCACATCCTGTTACTTACCATGAAGTATCTCTTCGCTAATTAACACAATTTAGCTAACATTTCTGTAAATGCTAATTTAGACATTCCACAAACATATGTTCCAGAACATAAACATTTGCATTTTATTTAGAAGAAATGTTTTTTCCTATCTATACTAGTAGTTTAAAAAGTGTTAGCTAATTAGAGTTAACTGACAATCAATTAATTAGAGTTGCAAGACCAAAAATGCTCATCTAGACCCTGCAGCACTACCATAACACTGGTTTAAAGATTAAGTAAATTTCTTTCACTGGTATTTAGATTTATCTAAATGGTATTTAGATTTTTAGATAGGGGCCCTAGGAAGAAAAATAACAAAAAAAACCCTGTTGGTTTCCCATAAATTTGAAACACTACAGTATTTATTACAGTAGAGTAATATTGCTGAAAGACTCTGTGTAAAATTGACACTTTTGTGAGTACCTGTATTTGACAGAATATTGTGAATATAAATAAAACCTAAAATAAAACCACAATGATTGTTAAATATCCTATTTAGTCAAAAAATATGCTATATATAAAACATTTATAGCATCAGTCATAATTAATCAGATGATGAGATTTGGCATCATATTGTAAAAGGAAAACACATAATATTTGAGAACTGATGTTTCATTTCAGCATTATTAGTAAGCTCAGTTACATCTACCTAGTTAAACAACCATGAACTGGACAGAAGTTACAAGAGTCTTAAATCAGTGCCACAAGGAAAAACAATTGCAGAAGGAATGATTTCTGATACTTGAACTTTAAATAAAAAACCGGCCAGCATGTGGTGAATTCCTATAGGGGGTATTTTACCATGAAACAAATACTTCATCATTTCAGAAGATAATAAAATATTTTGTGGTTAGAACGTTGAGAGGGGATGTACAAATGCCAGACAGAAAAGCATAGGGCAGCTTATTATTAGAGATAGACAGGAACCAAGCCTTTCTGTATAAACAAACTCAGACTTCCAAGAAGCTTAGTTGTGATCTGAATATGAACTCTGTGGCACAAATTCATTTATAAAAGTGTTCCATGCATTTGACTCTTTCTCTTTCCTTTCCTTTCATTACAGCAAAATAGCAGCAGCCAAAGAGTACAAAAACCTTGCATAAATGGCAAGTGTTCAAACTATGCACTCCACGAAGCTGCTTTTTCAGTTCAACAAAACTAATGGAAGAAGATTCACAAAATTCTGCAAGCTCCCTCAAAAGTACCTTACAAGGATTCACTTTTTTCCTGATAATTGCCCTATGGGTGTGTGGCATTGAAGAATTGTCCCAGTCTCCACTTTTGAATGAGCAAAAATATTATGAAGGAAAAAAAAATACAGTTTAGTCCTAAATGTTTTTTTAGAGTCAAGCAGCCTGGACAACTACAATATTATTACAATATAGAGTAACATAATAGAATATAGACTTATAATTAGTTACCTTTTTAGGGTTTTTTTAAAAATGTAAATCACTGGAAGGACCTTCAGAATTGCACGATTTGGAGCATCCTTTAAGATAATAAATCAAAATGCACTCGTGCAAATAATACCAAATAAATAAATAAATACATAAAAATTTAAAATTAAAATAAAATAAAAAAGTTGACTATACTTAGCTATATTTCTCATTACAGCAAAAACCAAACCAAACCATCTCCATCCCCAAAACCTAAAGGCCACACTATAGAAAGCACTTACCTCAATATTTGTGATCACCATTTCTCTAAAAACATATGCAATAGTACAATCTTCAGATTGACATTTGATGCGAAAGTTGCCATACTCCATTACATCTGGTGGATCAGGCCAATACTGATGACATTTGGTCTGCAAAGAAAAATGAAAGTACAAGCTATGAGCTTATACTGAATGTGTTTTGTTTTGTGGAATGTGTGCGTATCTATATCTGAGAACAGACTGACATATAGGGCCTGATTCTCCACAGCCTTGTGTAGTCATTTATATCTATGCAAAGCATTTGTTGAATGCCATTGTTGTGATCCTCACATTCATTTTATGTAGGTGTGAAGTACTTGTACAGTATACAAGTCAGTGGAGAATTAGACCCATCACATCTAATGGCATTATTTAATACCTCTGATGCCTAATACCTGCTTTCTGAGATTTAACTCCCTCGCACCACTGTTGAGCAATCAAATTTTTGATAATTGTGGCTTAGTAGCTGAGTTTCTGTAAAAACACAACCCAAGTTTTTGTCAAATCTGTGAAATTCTTGTTTTACAAAAATGTGGTCTGAGTTAACAGGTATTTTTAAGTGCTGTTTTCTTTCTTTGAAATCTCACAGGAACATGGTAGGTTTTTTTTCAAGTGAACAGTAATATTTTTAAACAATACCAATTAATATTACAAATCATGGGAGGACACAGATTAAAAAAAATGTAAACTGGCTTTTGACTAACAAAATCCCCAACCTCAGTGTTATGCCCACATAAATTTGCAAATATATATACATGGGTCAAAATAGCTAAATAACAACTCTTTTTTACTTTCCTAATGTGCTATTTTGACCTATTTTGCATATAGTTTTGCAAGTTTTAGGAGGCACTAAGATTGGATGGGCAGTATAAATTAGCAAGATCACAGTGAGGATCAGCAAATGGAAGAGAATGCTACATCAGTGAACCAGTTTCTTTGTTTTGGCAAGCACAAGTACTGCAGCTCATTTTAATGAGCTGAAAAAGCTTTTGCCAAGAAGTATGCTGGAACAAGTGCATTTAATGTGTAATTGACACTGTAGGGGCAGTTTTCAAAGAAGATGCTGATTATGAGGAATATGAAGATAATCACTTTTAGTCACATCATTCTTTTGCAGAGGGTGGGATGAGGGAGTTGAGAAAAACATGTATTTAGTGACTATCAAAACTAATTATAAAATGTATGTCAGAAGTTTGCAATGATATCTGATTAAAAATGACCATGTAGATCACAATTGCAACCACTGTTATATATTTGCAACCAGTCTTGTACCAAATGTGGCAGGTAAGATGTTTATGAAGAGGTTATGATTTTCTGGTTCGGTAAGTCTACACTACAGCGTTACTTTGAAATATCTTCTTTTGAAATAGTTAATTTGAAATACGTTATTTCAAAATAATGCCTCTACACACAAAATGCATTTCGAAACAGCGTTTTGCTATTTCGAAATAGCACGTCCAGAGTGGATGCTGAATCACATTTAAGGGCCGGCAGGGCATCAGATCAGGAGTTACTTTGTGTGGCTGCTGCCTGAGGCTATCTGAGGCTCGTGCTTAAAGGGACCCCTCTGGTGAGCCAGTTCTCAGCTTTCCCTGCTTGCTTGCCTACCTTGATGAGGGACAGCAAAGCATTTTGTCTCTGCATGCTCTGGTTGCCCTCACTCCAGACACCACAGCACAATGCAACATGGAGCCAGAATTGCCTCTGGGCACTCTGGTGCTTCTCTTGGATGCGTTGCTGTGAGCCTGGCTGCACTTTCTGCAGGCTGCCATCCGGGAGATCCACCAGGGGGCTGTCAGTATCCAGGAGGCCCTGTGGGAGAGCTTCCACCCTGAGGAACACTAAAAGCCTCCCTGGTCTGCCCCACTGGGGGCTTGTGCCTCATTCCTCCCTCACGTCCTTCCACTTACCCCTCCCTAACCCCCCTTCCTGATGTCAAATAAATACATGTATTTTCATGAACACAAACTTTCTTTATGTAACACAACTGGGGGAGGGGGGAATGAAACTCTGGTGAGACTGGGGAAAGGAGGTAGGAGAGGGGAGAAGAGAGGGTGGGAGAGGGGAGGGGGAAACCTGGGAGGAGGGAGCTGGAAGGGGGAAGCAAGGGGAAGAAAGGGGAGGGGAAGCTCAGGGCTCAGGGTTGGGGGAGGGAGGAGTCTTGCTGGACCAACTTGATTTTCATGCAAACCTGATCCTAGGTTCACACGTGGCCTTTGGTGCCCAGGCTGGCAGATATTATTGCATGCATTTAATTCTTTTAACAATTTCATCTCTTACCCTCGTTTCTTTTTATAAATAAACCTTTAGTTTTTAGATACTAAAGAATCACCAACAGCATGATTTTTGGGTAAGATCAGAGTTATATAGTGACCTGGATGTGCGGCTGTTTGCAGCTTTTCAAGTTCTGCGAGGGAAGGGAGGAGCGGAGATGGAGTGTGAATCAGGCGATTCATGGCACTCTGAAAGTGCTAGGAGGGAGAGGCCTGAGTAAGAAGTACACAGTTCCGGTGTGAAAGGCATGTGGGAGCATGTGTGTATGCAGATGGGGGTCCACGGGCTTCTGTGGCCCAATGAGATGAAGGAGGCCCCTCTCACTGTTAGGGTTGCCAGGTGTCTGATATTGGGGCCCAGACAGTCTGTTATTTGCAGCCTCTGTCCAGCAAAAATACCAGAAATGTGCACTTGTTTTTTTTGCTCAACAACTTTGGTCCTCTCCCACCGCCCCCCCCCCCCCCTTTTTTTTGCTCATCCACATTTGGTACTTTTTGAGAACGTATCTGGCAACCCTACTCACTGTTCTTCATTTGTCAATCACTGTTTTAGACTTTTCCACAAAATAAAAAACAATTCCTTCCTACTGGGAAAAAGGTTTCAAATCTCCCATTAGATTTTTCAATTTGACAATTCTACTTTTTCCATTCGTACTGCGAACCAACAGTCCTGTATGTTCTCAATAATCCATAGCCTGTAGTCCCTTTGAAGGTGAGCAGCATATTTATTTAAATTTTCCAAAACGGAATGTCTTGAAGTTCATAAAACTTGTATGAATCTAGAATAATATATATGACATTTCAAAGTGCATGGATGATTTTCTGCACTAAACCTTATGGTTTACATTTAAAATACCATATTTGAAAAAACTTCAGAAATACTATTAAAAACAGCATTTTGGATGCAAGATTTTGCATGAAAAATTATTAATTGTCTAAGTCCCCAGCCTCTGCTAGTCAGTAACTGGGAATGAGAAATGGGATGGATAAGTGCCTGGTCTGTTCATTCCCTCTGGGGCACCTGGCATTCGCCACTGCCAGAAGACAGGATAGTGGGCTAGATGGACCTTTGGTCTAACTCAGTATGGCCACTTTTTATGTTAATCAGTTTCTACTCTGTAGACACTTTGCTTGAATGAGGACTAATTAAGAACTGCATAATTTCAACCAACATGACTAAACTGCTCTAGTAAGATAAATGTTACGATTTTTACATGGTTCAGACAAACAGCTGTCACAGCTTGGAATACTATGAGAATTCCACTCTATATAGCTGAAATTATTCTCTAATTTTCTTTATGGTTAGTAACATTATCTGGACTTTTTCAGAGCTGATCAAGGATGATACAAGACAAGATACAAGATTTCTTCAAGATAGCGACAGAGCTAAAAAATGAAATATTGGAAAATTTCAGGAAAATTATAATCATAAACATGGCTATTTAGTCACTATCTGAAGGGTATTTAATTACCTTAATAGTACACTCAAAATGATTTTGATCTTCTCAAAAAAGTACAATTCCCTATATATATCTCTTGACAAATCAGCTCTTTCAGGCGCAGATTATTAAATTCAAAACCTCATGTGATCAGAATTATGTAATTCAACTAGTTTGGGAGCATGAGGGCAATCATTTTTCAACAATTTGTTCTCCCACATGTTATAAGAGCCAATAAAATTAGGTAATAGAAACTACTTTGGGCCTTTTTTGCTTAGGGATGTAACTGCTGCCAAAAACATTTCTGCTTCCATTTTTGTCATCTTACTTACAAAAAAAAAATCACTATTTTGGTTATTTGGAATCTAGTTCTGATGAATTATTTGCCCTATGAAGTATTTAAAAGATCTATGCTCTGCTCAGTTATTATTATAACACCACTTATGCCTTATGGAGCAATGTGTAATTGCTTTAGTTGATAAACACTATACACTTAAGTAGGGACGTAAGCAACTAGTCAACTACCCAATAAGCATATGCTTATTGTGTAATTGAGTAGTCACTTGACTAGTTGCTCCCCCCTCTTGCTGCCCCTATCAGAGAGAGGCAGCAAGCGCAGGGAGCAGGAGCCAGTGCTGGGAGGAACTGGGGAGGAAGGGAGCGGAGGGGGGAAAAGACAGGGGAGGCAGAGGCATTGCGAGGAAACCAGGCACGAGCTAGGACAGCTGCTGTGCCTCTTCCTTTTCAGTCTAGACTGCAGGGTGTGGTTTTTTTGAAAAAGCCTTTTTTGAAAAAGCGCTCACATGCGATTATGCAAATAAAGTGAGATTTGTAAATCCGTGCTTCATTTGAATTTTTGATCTGCTTCATTTGCATTCCTCTTTCGAGAAAGGAATGCAGTCTAGACAAGCTCCCACTGAAAGAGCTTGTTTCTCATTGTGTGAATTAAATAAGCTAAAAACAAAAAAAAGACTATGAAAATAAAATTCATATGCAGTCCTCTTCTTTGCCCCTGCACAGCGGTTGCCAGAAGGGTCTGAATCGGAACTTCAGATCCCAGCACAGATTTTTGCCATTGAAGCCACATGATTATCTTGTGGGGTTTTTTGTTTTGTTTTTTGTAGTTCAGTCTCTAGGGAGGACCATGAACCATATTTAGGCAATGTGTTACACAACTATTTGGTAGAAAGAAGAGGAAAGTTGGAACCAAGACTTCTGGGTTTTATCTGTCTGAAGAGCAATGGTGTTTAATGGCTACAGCAGTCTAAATGAGAAAGAGGGTAGTATTACCACCCATCTAATTGAAGGGACTAAACACTTTGGAAACACTGTACTAAAAAACTATGTGGGTGTGACATTCCTTGAATATCTGATTTGAAATTCTGTGAATTTTGCCATTGACTTCCATGGGGCCATGATTTCAGCGTATAACTTCAAATGTTGTTTTTCCATTTGATAACAGTGTTTATTTTATAAGTGGGTTGTGCCCATGAAAGCTCATGATTTTTTGTTAGTCTCTAAGGTGCTGCAAGACTACTTGTTATTTAGGTTTTTTTAATTTTTTTTAAACATTAGGCTTCAGTATAGAAATACTGAATCTATTTAAACACATTTTCACTTTGTAGATTATCTATCATTAACTGCCATCATTTTAACAAACAGAACAAATCTAAATGCTTTGCAGGTTTGGGTTCATTATGCCTATTAAAGAAGCACTCAAAATATCTGGAGAGATGCAAGGCAACTGTGTGTGGAGTCTGAAATCAGTCTAAAAAGCTGGAAATTTCTGACTGTGGAAGTCTGGCTATGTTGCAGTGGTGAGTTCATGTAAGCAACTCAAGGTCAGACAACTGGAGGGCACAACTTACTTCTAATAGATACATTAAAAAATGAAATGGGATTTCTAACAACACTGTTAAATTTCAATACGTGTCAGTTTGGTGATTTCTATTCATACACACAGAAACATTATAAATCAGACATATTCCAAATATATTTTATAAGTTAAAATGTATTGGGTGACGTTTTTCATTAGCCACATAATTAACTTTTTATCTTCCTTTCCAATATCAAACCCAGTTTTCAATTGCTTATAACTTTCCCAAACTTTAACTATTAAAACTGAATGTTTTCATGCTGCTGCTTGACTCAGGCTTCGTTTTATTTTTTAATTTCGACTGAAATAATTCGGTCATTTCTGAAAATAAAATTACGTGCCCATTACCCAAGACGTGCACAGTTTTCCTTACAATGGCTCCTCTGGTGTAACTTGGGTGCCAAGCATCATAACTGAGGGCAGGGAGATTGTCCTGCATTCTTCCTATAGGCCAAGCAGCCTGCATAAGGAGGAAGTAATCTGACTAGAATGCAGAGGAGTGTGGAAAAAGGAGGAGACATGGGAAGAAGGGAACAGCAGAAGAAGGGGGAACTGGGGAGCCCACTCTTCCAGAACCTGGAACTGAACACCGATGTCCCAAATGTTGCATTTCTCTGCTCTCACTATGCATCAGTGAAATGTACTAGCTAAAAATGTCTCATCTCCCTCAAACGCTTGGGCCACAAAAAGGACAGCAACCTACAACTACTCCCAGTTATTCTGCAAGCTCATGTGATGGAGACCCATGCTTTCCATTTGAAGATAGAAACGCTGTTCATGATTTAAGATAGGAGTCTGAATGGTTCAACATGGTATTACTTGTTTGTTTGTCAAGAAACTAGGAAATTACATCTGCAGGATTACATTAAAAGATTAATGTTGTGAACTCATCTACTCAGAATTTGGAAAGTGGGAATTCAAGGTTGTCCATACAGCCTTAATTGGTCACTCCCCTGTGTATACATTATGATTCAGGCTAAGATTTAGTCACAGGTACACCTGAACCTCTGTTGTCTGGATGTCTCTAATCTGGGAGCACCCGTGATATGAACCCTGGCAGGAGGTGGCAGCAGCTCTTGGCACTGCGGATCTCCCTCCCCTCCAACTGAGGGAATGGCAGCGCAGCAGAACGCTTCTCTCCTGAGCAGCGGAAGGTGGTGCCGGGGAGAGATGGGGAGTGAGGAGCCATGTGTGCCCCTGGAGCGTGGTGCCAGGTAAGCACCCTACCCTATCCCCTTTATGTCCAGACCCTGCAGTACCCTCCCTGGTCCAGCAAATTCTTTACTATGGCATACCTTGTTTCCCACAGTTGCAGGAGTGAAGAGGTTCAAGTGTATTTTTAGTAAAAGTCATGGACAAGTCATGGGCAGTAAACAAAAATTCATGACCCATGACCTGTCCATGACTTTTACTATATACTCCTGACTAAAACTTGAGGAGGGGGGCAGCTTGTAGGGGTGGCTTTGAGGGTTGGGTTGCCCAAGGGGGCGCTGTTGGTGTTAAGAGGAGGAAAAGAGGGAATGCAGCCTGGGCATGCTGTGAATGCTTCGGAGGTGATGCTAACTGGTTCCAGTTAACCATTGGAGCAGCTCTCTGTCTGCCTCCCCTTCAAACGGTTAAACAATAACGTTTAACTGGTTAACCAATTGAATGGGATTTTAGATCCCTAGAAGTCACAGAGCTCATGAAATCTGTGACACACACAGAACCTTAATTATTATAGTCATGTATTACTATGGTATGGTAACCTACTGGTTTTTTTCCTACAAGTCCCATTGGGCAGCCATCAATGGCACATTTTGTACATTTGCTTCTATATTTATACTAGTTGAAACAAAGCTTTGTACTTGCTAAAGTGTTACACATCCAAAGCTGCTCTTTTGAGATGGTGAAACATTTTTTGCTAGAGCTGAGGTTTTTAATTATGTTTCTGTGATTGGCTGTACCTAAGGATTATGCCTTAACCCTTCTGACCATAAGGACTTATCCTAAGTCATTGAAAAACCAAATTCTTTTTTCCATCTTCTGAATTAATAAGTCTGCTCCAGCTTCACTTCTCAATCAGTATATTAAACAGAATCTCCAAATATCCACTCCCAAATAAAGCACCTCCCAAACCATGCCAGTTTCAGAATTTGACAGTTCAATGAGAAGTTACTTAGGGACACAGCTAAAGAATGAGGAGAATTTCTACCTGTAGAAAGGCAGACAAAAATTATGATCTGTCGCACCCTGCAGATGCCAGAAAAAAACCACCCCCAGTTTCTAACTTTGTAACTGTTGTTGTTTGAGATGTGTTGCTCCTGTCTATTCCATGTGAAAGTACTGTGTGCATAGCTGCTGGAGATTTTTTCTTAGTGGTATCCCATAGGACCAACTCTAGCTACCTGTATGGCTGCTGCAGCCAGGATATTAATTAGGCTGCATGAAAATTTCTTGAGCACCTCAACTTCTTGTCCCAAGTTTTCAAGAGATCTTGGTGGGCCCCAAAGTCATCCAGCAGGGGCAAATTTTTAGGGTTTGGGGCCATCTCCTCTGCACCACATTGACTAGGAACCATGTCTTGGACATTGGCATCAGAGTTAGTACCAGAGTCAGGGGCTGGTGCTGGATGGGATGAAACAGTGACTCACCTCTTAGACACCACAAAGTATGAATGATGAGAAGAGGAGCCCAGTACTGGTGGCCATGCACTGGCCAGTAGGCAGGTACCGAAGTCCAGTGCATAGGCTACAGTACTAGTAGGTCTTCAGTGGGACAAAGGATTTTCCTTCAGATTCTGAAGAGGATGCTTCCCTTGGAAACTATGGCAGCACAACACCCACTTCTGATTCCAGACCATTCCAGAGAACTGGAGATAGGCTGTAGGCCATAGATTGCTTTATTGAGACCGTGGAAGGTTGCTCTGGATGGTGCTGTTGTGCAGCTTGCTGCCCTTTGATTCTTTTATCCCCAGTTACCTGGGCCGGTAGGTAGCCTGAGGGGTCGGTGGGGTCAGGAGGGATGTCAGGTCCTTTGCTACCTGGAAAGCCTTGGGGGAAGCAGAGGGGGATCAAAGGGTCTGCAGGCACACGGTCTCATAGCTGCTCTGAGGAGTCAGAGAACATCGACAGTGGATCACTTGGCATGGAAGCCAAAGTGATTGGTTCAGCTCTGAGACTAGTCTGAGGGCTGCCTCCATAAGTATGGCCTTTAGAAGAATCTCCCTATTTTTGGGAATGTGGGGTCTGAAGCCCCTGCAGATCTGGCACTTTTCTTTTCTTTATTGCAACTTTCCCGGGAGTACTTTAGACAGGAGGAGTGCATGCCACAGGAGGTTCATGGCTTCAGACCAAAGGAATGAGGCATACCCAGCCCCTCAAATGAGAGTTCCTCTGACAGGGATAACTATTAAAACTACTGTGTGCACTAATACTAGGAATTATATACAATAATTACAATAACTATATAATATACAACAGAAAAATCCCAACCACTAGGCAAGAAGCTTCACAAGAGCAAAAAGGATCATTCCAGGAAACTATCACAAGCAGCAAGTAGAAAAGAGGGTGCAGGGCCAGTCAAATCTCATTTGCTGGCACATACAGGCACAGCTCCAGAGAACACTACAGCCAGTCTTACAGATACCACTAAAGGAAATTTTTTTGGCAATCCTATGCACAACCTAGTACATAAGCAAGCATTCAAAGAACCAGCTCCCTCAACCCCAGCTCTGCTCTGGCTCTGGCTTCCCCCCCGCCCCACTCCGCTGTTTCACTCCTGGCCCCAGCTACAGCTCCGGCCCTGTAAGGGGGGTAGGAGGGAAGACATTACTAAAAATTTGGGGAACCACTGTTTAAGAAAGTAGAGGGATTTCACGTAGATTATAAATTAGAGAGTAACTATTTTGTACTTTGGATATGGGAACATTTGTATTTTCCATAATTCAGGGAGTCTGTGAACTGATTTCAAAACTATAATTTAGTAAATCAGTTCTATAGCAGATACTTCAATGTACTTTTAGGAAAAGTTTCAAAATATTATCTCTCAGATTCTCAACAAGGTAAGTAATTGAAATATACTAAATTTTGGCTATATGCATAAAGGGCATTCTCTTACTCTCACATGATGTTTTCAGGACAGCAGGTATCAGAAACTGCCATTCTCATATTCTACACATTTTCACACACAGGGCAACAGGAAACAAGCAGCTTTAACTGTTGCAGTTATATATTCAGGAGAGGGAATAAGAAAAGATCAAAAAGCATAGCAAACAATATGTTAAAAGAAGAGACACAGGCTTCTTTTACATTGAAATCCTTTCTGCTAAACAGCTTTTAGGCCAATATCAAAAGATAATTTAGACATACATGTTTAATTACTTTGCTGTGAACTGCAAGCTTCAAGAGAGGATATACATGCTTACCCGTCCTCGTTCAGTGAGAGTTGTCAACATGATGATCAGTGATAACCTATGATCCCAGACTACCTGCCAGAAATGTGCACAGGTATGTGGAAGAGGACCTTGAGTAGCGATATATTTGTTCACAATGCCAGCAGAAGGAATTTCCATCTGTCAGGAGAAAGAACAACTTACATCTCACCACTCAAATGCCCAATATTATTTTGTTTTCTTGTTCAAAATAACTTTCACAAAGATGATCTTCTGAAGGAAATTTTAAAAAGGCAGTTGAACAACAAAGTTAACAAATTCATTTCAAGTATCTTAGGGTATGTCTACACTTGTACCCTAGTTCGAACTAGAGATGCAAATGTAGGCATTCGAAATAGTCAATGAAGCCAGGATTTAAATATCCCGCGCTTCATTAGCATAATCTCGTCTGTGCGCTATTCCGAACGCCATCTGATTCGAAAGTGAAAGTGCGCTCCGGACCGTGTTAGTTCGAATCAACCCCCTTGGTTCAAACTAACATTACTCCTCAAAAAATGACGTAACGTTAGTTCGAACCAAGGAATTCGATTCAAACTAACACAGCCCAGCTCACTCAGATTCTTGACCACTTACAAATAGATGAGTGTAGCATACAAATCATTAATCTAAAATGAAAGGTAATGCACTGACATGCTAAATTTTCTCTGAACAGGCAAACATTTTGAATTCTACTGAAAATGTTTTACTTATCCTCTTGTACAACTCTACAACCTATAATTCTTTACTATCCCTCCTGCATTTTATTTTTTCACAGACCACTTGAAAATTCCTGAGGGTCTCAGTGGACCAGTTAATGAACTTTCCAAATATTGTTTGTATCATGAGCGAACTATTGTAAAGTACTTTGGATAAGAGTGCTTTATATATATATATATATAAAACAAAAAGATCTCATGCTTTTTTCAGCTTCCAAACATTTACCCTTTGTGTTTAGCTTCTCAACTACAAGACCTGTTAACTACAGCAGTGATTCTCAACACTGTACCCATCCATGTCCTAAAACCCCATTGCAGGGATTCTGTTTGACATGTGGTGGTTTGATAAACTTGTACATTTATGTGGAGAATACCGTCTTCTGCTCCAGAATATACATGACCATTTATTAAAATCTCTTTCTCTCTCCTAAGGTTGAAAATAAACCTTCAAAAAGGTGAACTGATACAGTGATGATCCCCCGCCCATGCTTTATGAAAATGTCTTATGGACACGAATATGTATAACTCGAAGATGCTTTGGGCAAAATGTTTCATGTAACCTTTCAGTCTTAATGACATAAATCTGTTGGATCTGTATTTCTTATTTTGGTGTCTGTATCATTCTTATATGTAAAGTTAGAAATATGGAGTATGGAATGGTTTATGATTTTAAATGGTTTATGGTGCAAATGAAAGCCATCAAGGTGTTTCTCTCAATGTTTGGGTGATCACCTGTAAACAGCCTCTTATGTCCTTCAAGTCTAAGCAGTGGTTGATCTTACGAAGTCATATGACCACCCTAACTGATAGGGTCTGACCAGGTAATTTTCCATGGGAGGATGGAATTTAGTAAAGAATTCCCACCTAAAAAGAAGGCTATTTAAAATGCTGAGTTTTTCAGTCCCTGTGTCTTTGGCTGGCATGTCACTCCCAAGAGCATGAACTAGAGACCCCAGGGAAAAGGGATCTTCCCTGGCTTGCAGGGTTAGTTGAAATAAGAACAATTTTAATGTAAGCTTGTTATAAGCCTTAATATGTTAGAACTAGCTATGAGTTTGTTATTTCAAATTTGTAATCTGCTTTGCTCTGCCTCTTTTCACTTGCAGCCATTTAAATTCTATTGTTTGTACTTAAAATATTATTTTATTTTCTATCAAGCCCAGTGTAAATAATTGTTACCTGGGGAAGCAATCAGTGTGTACGTCCTCCTTTCATTTTTAAAAGGGGCTTACATGAATGATTTATTTGGGGATGTGATTTTATTTGGGGAGTGGGTTTTCTGGTAGCTGTGCCCAAAATGCATTCTCCTCAGACCTGAAGAGATGCAATGTCTGTATTGCTCTCCAGGTGGGAGTTCTCAGCTCTGTGCCTTGGCTGGGGGAGACCAGGAGATCTGGCCCAGCAGGACAGGATGGTGAGAAGCCCACGAGAGAAAGGAGGCGAGTGTCAGTGGCTTTACCAGCACACCAGGAAGCACCCGAATGGGTCTTCTGTGGTGGAACCCCATCATTGTGGCTATATCTGCAGCTAGCCTTAAATAGATACTCAGAGAAATAAAACACTCTGAAATCTAATGATTATTTCATTGATAATTAAAGCAAATGAGAAAGCAGATGGACACTATATCTGCTAAGAGTAGAATAATTTGTTAGCATCTCAGGTGGGTGGCGTTTGGTTTATGGGTATAGTGTACCAATATTTCTCTGAGTTGTAATCCCTTATGGGTGCTTCACTGTAGGGTTAGCTGCATCCTTCTGCTACTGACTGAAGAATTTACATAGCAGTGTTTATTTGGCACTCACATGCACTGCCTCCCTCTTGTGGTCTGCCACAAGGCTAAGCAGCATTGCATGGGCAAACCCTCTTCAGTTCCTTTTCTGACAAAGTACATGATGTGAACTCGAAGTAGAGGCGAGAAAAGTAAGAGCACTCACAAGGACCCACAACTTGAAAAACCATCATTACTGCACAAGGTGAGTAATTTCTTCAAGTAGTGGCCTACGAATACTCTACTGTAGAGGACTCCTGAGCAGTATCCCCTACTGCAGACTGGGGCTTCAGAATTAATTATGTAATTGACAATAGTACAGTGACATTGAATCTCATATCTGCAACAGAATCCCCCAGGACAATAATGTTATGCAACTGTGTGCAGATACCTAGGTAGCAGTTCTGAAGATTTTGATATAGGGATAACTTTATAAGAAGACGATGATCAACAAAACCGATCTTACAGAGTATGTGGGGATTACAGATGGAGGTGCTATATTGTGAATCTGATAAAGCTCAGATAGCATTTGAGACCCATCTAGAGAGTCTCTGAGCTGAAATCATGTGCTCTAGACCTATCTGTAATGGAGAGGAAGAGTATCAGATTTTCTAAAAATTCTTGTCATGTCCAAATACAAGACCCATTCTCTCCTTATGTTGAGTGTACAGAGGATGGCTTCCCTATTATCTTGGTGAGATTTAAATAAAAGGTAGAAAGGTGAAATGTGCTCATGAGAAATGTGCAAGTCACTTTGAAGATGAATGTCAGAGGTGGTCAAAGCATGACTGGCAGAGAGGAGCACAGTGAAAGGTGGACAAACCATTAAGACCATTCTCTCCCTAGCTTTCTTGCTAACATAGTAACAATCAGGAACAAGTGAAGCCAAGAACAAGAAAGCCTGGTTTGAAGAGGGGTCTAACCAAATTCTTTTAATACTAGATTAAGATGCTACATTGGCCCATTGTAGAATATGGCACAAGAGTTACCACTGCATCTCTTTCTCATTCTTGATCATGTGGGAATTGGAAGCTCATACTGTCTGCTGTGGTGTTGTGTAATCCAGGTAGGTAAATCACGGATTGTGGGAAATAAATACACCAGTTCCATAAGCTTGAGTGCTTCCATTTAAAGGATAGATGATCTGATGGTTTGTGTGATACATACATGCTTACATTGTCCATCATGATCTTTGTGTGCATATCTTAGATTAGCAGATAAAAATTAGCACATATATTCTAGATCATTCTGAGCTCAAGCAGATTGATGTGAATGCATGTCTTGGATGGAGGTCATTTGTCCTGCACTGAAATCACCAAGATGTGTGCCTAATCCAATGAGAGACATGCTGGGAGTAAGAAATAGTGATGGGGAAGGATACACAAATGGGAATCCTATCCAAGTGTTTGCTGGATCTTTCTACCAATTCAAAGACTGATTGATTTTGGTGGGCATCAACAGGAGTTCGTCTATGTTGTCTTTATTCAGTAAACTGAATTGAACCATGACTGTTCATGGCATTTCATGTGAAGTCTGGCAAGAGCTATCACAGATATTTCCACAGACACATGCCCCAGAAATGGAAAGCAATGTCTGACTGATATGTGAGGGCTCGATTGCATTGTCTTGGTAAAGGTGGAGAGACTGAAGAATCTGTGTGGTGGAAGGAAAGCGCTGACTCAAAGTCGAGACTGGCTCCTATGAATTCTAGTCTGTACTTGTATTAATGTCAATTTTTGTGCACTGATTTATAGGCCCAGTTCCTTAAATAAATCCAGAGTGGCATAAGTAACTTGCTGGGCTTTGACAAAGACACACACACTGAGAAGACAATCCTCCAGGTAAGGGTAAACTATAATGCCCTGGGAGTGCAAATAGGTTGCCACCAGAGAGTGGATCTTGGAGAATACTCTGAGGGGAAATAAGAGGCCAAAAGGGAGTGCCCTATATTGGTACTGGTCCTGGTCTAGTGTGAATCTGGGGGTATCTTGTGACACAGTATATCAAAATGTGGAAGCAAGCACCTTGGAGGTCAAGGGCCATGAAACACTGGAATAATTATTGCCAAAGTGAGCATTTTCAACTTCTGAACCTTGACAAATCTGTTGAGTGCCCTGAAGTCTAGTAAGAAACCCCAACCTCCCTTTTTTGAATATCAGGAAGCAACAAAAGTCAGAGACTTTTTCTTTTAGATGTAGGGACACTGGCTGTATGGCAACTACACTGAAGAGATGGTCTCTCTCTTATCATAACAGGCTTTCATGACTAGGGTCCTTCAAGAGGGCAGGAAAGAGAATTTGGGAGGGTGGGGGCATAGGTGAAATAGATGGCATGCCCATCTCGAATAATCTCCAGTACCTATTTATCTGAGGTTATCCATTCCCAGGTGACAACCTGGGAAGCAGTGATCATGAGATGGTAGATTTCAGGATCCTGACCAAAGGAAGAAAGGAGAGTAGCAAAATGCACACCCTGGACTTCAGAAAAGCAGACTGACTCCCTCAGAGAACTGATGGGCAGGATTCCCTGGGATGCTCACATAAAGGGGAAAGGAGTCCAGGAGAGCTAGCAGTATTTTAAAGAAGTCTTACTAAAGGCACAGGAAGAAACCATCCCGACGCACAACAAGAAAAGCAAATATGGTAGACAACCAGATT